ATGTCACCTTTACTTTACCAACCCTTGAATTTACGTCTGCTTCAAAACCTTCTTGTTCATCGATGATGTCGCTGACCAAGTACGTAAAGGTTTTCACCTCTTCCGGAGATTCCTCATAAAATATGAATGGGTCGGTGTTCTCTTCGTTGTACATGAGGACTTTGCTTTTTCCTTTGCGTATGTTGATGCCTATTGACGCGGAGGCTGCTGATACACTACTTGTGTTCAGCTGCATTCTTTGATGTGTACGGGGTGGACGAAGATGTAAAAACCCACAAATAACTCCCGAAGTGACTAGTGCAACGAATGGCTAGGTTACTCACCCCACCAATAGGGAGTTACAAATAACCTGAAACCGCACCAAAACGATAAGAAGCTGATGCGAATAAATCAACTAATTTATTCAACATCGTCACAAGAATAATGTGTATTTGGGAAGCTGGTTACAAATATATCGCATATTGAAATCATATATTAAGGATTCAAGGCTAATTAAAAGGACAGTGGTATTTTTCCTCGTTCAGTAAACTCTATTGTTTTGATCGTTATTACGTATCAAGATTACTGTTTTCAGTTTAATTGAATTTATTTCAGTTAAAGTATTCGATTAAAGTATAGTTTCTGCTTCCATATTAGTTTGTCGTCGGTGTTTCAAAAAGGGCAGTGATTTTTTACTTGTTGTGATTATCCTTGTTTTTGTGTTGTTATTGCATCAAAAGCATTCTTGGTCTAAATCAAAGTACTTTAGTTATGGTTTGAAATCTTGCTAAAGTTTGTCTTGTAGTACCCTTTACTGGTTGACCGACACTGTGTTCATACTGCGATCATATTGTGTTTTACACCTTAATCTGACTAGAATGGTTGGTAGTACTCACAAATGTGGACAACAAAACTGTTTGTTCTCTGTGGAGGAAGGAATGCAGTGTGATGAATGCAAAAAATGGTTCCGTAAGATGTGCACCCGTTTAAGTCCCAACGCATACAAAAGATGTTCGAAGCCCAACTCACATTGGCTCTGCATATTTTGCTGTGCAAATAAGACGTTACTAATACAGGAGGCTATGAGTCTATTGGCCCTGACCTGTAAGAGGAACGATGGCGCATGCACTGATAACACGAGCACTGACAGTAACGAATGTGTCAGTGTAGTACGCGCCGTTACGAGACGCCTTAAACAACCGACTGTGACTGACGGAAAAGTGAAATCTCCGTTAACATTAACGACGGGGGTAGTACCACCTGATACTGATACTGGTAACTATGCACCCCTAGTAAACACCGAAGATCTGGATAAAACCGTCACTGCTCCAAATAGTCACAGTGTCTTGAGGGGCAATTCCGATATACGGGTTAGACCTGATATGTCTCTCGAAGATAGAATAAAAAGGAAGAAAACATTAGCTGAACTAGAAACCCGTCGGCAAAACGGCGAGGAAAATCTCCGGCTAGTGGGTTTTCGGATACTCAGGTCTTGAAAGTGAATGCTACCAAGGCCTGTGTGGATAGGCCGTTCTACTTAGGAGTTTTATATGCCAACGCTCGTAGTCTAAGAAATAAGTTCTATGAACTAGAAGCATTAGTGGACAGATTAAAGCCACTCATCGTAGCAGTGACAGAAACATGGTTAGTCTATGACTTAGACATTACTCCAGAATTATCCGGATACCATTACATCAGGAGTGATAGACATAGATGTAGAAAAGGAGGTGGCGTCCTGTTATATATAGCCAATAATATAAATATCCGCTCCTCTACTAGCGAATCCCATGATAGCGGTACTTGTGATTTGATTATCTGTAAATTGGCTATCGGATGTAGTACATTTATGCTCGGCGTCACTATCGCAGTCCAATATTGCTTAGCCGATAACTTTATTTTAGAGCACATTCATCTTTGGAGTGCAAATACCAGATGCTTGATAATAGGAGACTTTCATGCGCCTGACATCAGTTGGACTGAGATGACCACGGAAGGATCGATAAACTCCTTTGATAGTAGGTTCCTGGTAACAATAATGGAGCATGCACTAGTGCAGCATGTATCCAAACCCACACGTTTTGGTGCTAACCAAGGTTCTTCTCTTGGTAATCACTCATGATACTGAGGATATTGTCAACCTAAATATTCTTCCGCCATTAGTGAACAGCGATCACGCTGTTTTGTCATTTATGTTTAGAACTAGGGACATGTTATACGATCAGGTTACACCCCGCCCAAATGAATGGAAAGCCAACATATCAGCCATTCAGTAATGCGCTGATAAGACAGATTGGTTTGTAGATACTAGCTTATCAGTTGAAGAGGCATGGTCTGTATTTAAAGGTACGTTTAGTTTAGTTACGTCCCCGTTCATACCATACCTGGTACCGCGAAGGCCAAATAACAGTCCACCATGGAAAGCACAAACAGTCAGGTAACTTCTAAGAAAAAGGAAGAAGCACTGGAATATGCTCATCTCTACTGGCTTAGAACCATACAGATCCAGTTATTGTAAGATCAGGAATACCTGTAAATCGTTAGTAAGACTAGACGATCATATGAAAAACAATTGGTTAGGGATTTTAGATATAGTCCGAAACGGTCATTCTCGTATTTAAAAAGGCAAACTCAGAGAAGCGATGGAATTCCATTACATTTGACACAAGAAAATCCGTTAATCTTGGCAAGAAATGATACCGAAAAAGCTGAAGCTTTATCAGAATATTTCAGTAAAGTGTTTTCTATCGGTAATGAGGAACGACCAACGACTCACTGTGATCGCGGAGGCTCGCCGATGGACCCTGTAGTCATTGAGAAAGGTACTGTTTTAAGGCTACTTCAGCATCTCAAACCTGATAAGTCCAGTGGTCCGGATGACATTCATCCTAGGATTATGAAATCTCTATCAGATGAAATTGCTGAACCATTAGCGATACTGTTTGACATGTCTCTAAGGCAGTCCAGACTGCCCAGAGACTGGAAAGATGCTATAATAAGTCCAGTGTAGGGATTTAGTTAGTAACCATAGGCTCGTTAGCTTAACTAGTGCAGTTGTAAAACTGATGGAAAAAATCATTCCGATATCTGTTATAAACTATGTTGAAGGGCACAATCTTTTCTGCAGGGAACAACATGGTTTTCGGAAAGGCCTATCATGCTTGACAAATCTTCTCATTGCAAGGGAAGATTGGGCTGCTGCAAAAGATCAGAATATTCCTGTGGATGTGATCTTCATAGATCTAAGTAAGGCTTTCGATAAAGTCTCTCACTGTGGTCTTGAATTCAGACTGGAACGTTTTGGAATCCATTATACAATCGTAGATTGGATAAGTAACTTTCTGAATGCCAGGAGACAAAGAGTAAGGGTAGATGGGGCCCTCCCCTCGTGGGTACTTGTAAAAAGTGGAGTTTCCCAAGGCACAATTCTCGGTCCTCTTCTCTCCTTACTTTATGTAAATGATTCACCAACTATAGCGAAATTATCCGTCCTGCTATTCGCTGATGACAAGCCCCTTCAGCTCAGTCAGTCATATAAAGCAACGTATAATTCACCGTATATGTTCATCATTTCAAGTTGTTACACATTAGTAGGACAAAAATCGCAGACGAGTAGTAGTAGTAACAGTAACCAACTATTCATCAACGAATAAAATGTACCACCTAATGAAGTCCCTTAATTTAGTGCGCCTGTGGTAAATCCCAGTAAAAAAGCTTAATAAAAATATAACTATACTCACTGTTAATAATGATATATCAAAAATATGAACATTACAATCCGAAGTATCCGTTTCTGAGTGAACCAAAACGGTAACAAGTAGCACACAACAAAATGGTATAATAAATAACAAAGTGATAACAGTTGTTATGAAATGAATGTTACTTGTAAGCTCCTTCTGAGATAACAACCACAGATGAGTTCACTTGATTAACGAATGTTCCTCTGCACATTCTGGCACCAACGACGTGATGAGAAACCTTAAATTCAACAGTATTATTAAATAATAATAAGGGCCAAAACTCCGGCATAATGTAGAACGGTCTAAAAGAATGTTATAACACGACTACAACCTCCAATCACAGGCCGTGGTCAATAAATTAAAAAAATTAGACGACAGAGATAGCGTTTATTTTAATAACAGCGGTATTGTTTATTAGTATTAGTACAATCATACCCATGTTTACCATCGATACAGAGAAAAAATAGATATTGAATATAAGTGTGATTACATATACAGTGTCACAAACAAGGAAAAAGTGTGGTCTTTATTTTGTAATTACAAAAATCACTGAATATACATATCACTACAGACCTCATTGCTAATTTTATCTATAAAATTAGAAAGGTATTAGTGGCTTAGAAACCAAAAGATAATGATTACTGTGCGATAACTGCTCAGTACAAATAAACCTCAATGTTTAATTTTCAGACGGATAACTAATTTTTACGTCGACACCCGCCACTAACCCTCGCATCTTCTAAAAAACCCTACTTAATCGGACTCAAATCAAAAGTGGAAAATTTGTATAGGAATGAAGAAAATACGTAGATATATCTTCATCAAGTCTTACTTTATTCATTGCATCGAGCCATTTCAGTCTTGTTCTATTGAACAATTAGCAGAAAGCAGTTATTTCACAGACGTAGTCAAAAACCATATCAGTAGTAACATATCAATATTTTGTGCAAGACACAACAAATCTCAATTAAAATAAGCTAAATGCAGTTTCTGGAACGATGATAACCTACTGGTTAAATCTTTCAACTCCAATCCACCAAACCGTAAGCTCGAACCCTCCGTCCTTCTGTCCACTGCATTTTAAATAAATAGTTGTAGTACAATTAGGCGGACAAACATAAAGTAGTCAAATACGTAACACCTGTAATTGGTGTTAATGAGATAAATGGTATTTCTAAAAAAATAATGTCATATTTCCATTAATAGTAAAAAGATTTCTTATCGTTTTCCTGTCTCTTCCATGCTTGTTATTTCTGTTGAACTTTTTTAGAATCTAATTTATTCATGAGTTCAGTGAGTCAAGGTAAAAATGAAAAAATGCTAGCATCACACGAATCCGCACTTACTCCTACATTGAAATGGAGGAAGAATCAATTTACATGTAACAATTCTAACACTACAACGACTGCCACTAATATATTGACCCCCAGAAATGATGTATCATATGCTACATTTTTATCTTATCCTCATCAATCTGGTTTAATGGCACAGTCAACTACTTCACCTCAATATATGTTACCAAATGATTGTATTATTAAATCCCTAAATGATAATAGTAATGATTTAAAAGAAATTAATTCTATCCCTTTGTCAAATATAAAAATGGTATTGACTGAACGAAAGAAATCATCGTATCCTGATTTATTCATGCTAAAAACTAATCAAAATGTTACAACAAATCACATTCTACTCGATCATCTCGTACATCATCAACACGTCTCCGGCCTGATAATAGTTGACCCCCAAATGCCCTGGTATGGCCGAGAGTGGGGAGAGTCCGCTGTCCCTCTCGAAATACTCTCACACGGCCACGCGTATACAGCCTCTGCCAGGGAAGTCCTACTCATTGGCTTCTCGTGGCGGGGGTGTTGTTTACAAAAATGAGAGGACGAAAAGCGAATGTCCGGCGCTTTAACCGGATCTCAAATCAATGGTGCACACGGGCTCCAGTATCCAAATGGCGTATGAACCAAACGTTGGTCACCGGCTACCATGGGACTGCATCTCCTTACGATGCTCCACTGCCTTGTGGGTTAGACCTTTAGGTCAAAGGCTCGGGGGGTGGCCCCCTAAGATGTCCACCTGCTTCGGTCTGGGCACCCGGGCAGTATCGCAGCCCACACGCAAATGATGAACTCTCTATATCTATGGAAACTACTTTTCTCGCTTCGAATAACAATCAAATGATTCAAATTATTATTATTATTATTATTATTATTATTATTATTATTATTATTATTATTATTATTATTATTATTATTTACCACATTATTCACCCTCTTTTATACTTATACAGCGGCTCGTCTTTGGTGGAAATTCGACTGTATCTAAACGTTCTTGAGTCACTGTCTGGTTGAAAATTGTATGTTACCACTGAATGTGGCTACTGAAGCAGTTTTTCTGAAACCACGTGCATCATTCAAACTGGCTGCCTTCAACGTTCGCACACTTATGCAGGTTGGACAACAGATAGGGCTGGCTATGTATTTGGAAAGTCTTAATATCGATGTTTGCTGTCTATCCGAGACCCGTATTCAAGACTCTGGTGAAGTACTACAAATTCGCTCTTCATCTGTCGCTTCGAAAAGCTTGTTTCACGTGCGCTTATCCGGGGACCCTGTGGCATCTTCGTCTGGTCTTGCTGGCGTTGGTGTCGCGCTAAGCGCTAGAACTGAGGCAGCACTAATCGATTGGATCCCCATTAACAGTCGGTTATGTGCTGTTAGATTAGAAAGTTCCATCAAAGTGAGAAGAAATCGGCGTGAGAAACGATGTCTTTTCGTCATCTCCGCCTATGCCCCGACAGATTGCAGCCTGGATGCAATCAAGCATGAATTCTACCGCCAGTTAACTGTTCTTCTATAGAAAGTGCGTTCGACAGATATTGTAGTACTAGCCGGAGACTTGAATGCTCAGGTCGGGCGTCTAGGCACAGAAGAGAGTCGTCTAGGTGGCCGATGAGGACTCGTTGGTCGCAGGTCAGATAACGGGGACCGTCTACTGCAACTATGCACAAACCACAACCTGTTTCTGGCCAGCACTATCTTTCGGCATAGAAATCGCCGATGTGCCACCTGGCGTCCCCCTTCTGCATCTCAAGCCTGTACTCAGGTTGATCACATCACGATCAACTACCGCTGGCGTGGTTGTGTGCAAGACTGCCGCTCCGTTTGGAGTACCTATCTGGACTCTGACCATGCTTTGGTCTGCGCCAATCTTACCGTACTTTTCAGTGGACAACAAAGTGACCGCCACCAACGGATTGATGTTAGCAAGTTGGTCGTAACTTCTGTTGCAAGTAAGTATCGAACCGAGCTAGCCTCTAGGCTAGCTACCATTCCACCGAAAAGTATAGATGAGCATTGGTTGCAATTGCATGACGCCATGAAAATGGCGGGAACAGTCAGTTGTGGGTTTCTTCTGGCTCCTTACAACTCATCGAAGCCCGTCGGCCTACTCCGGGTCACCGTGAGTTTGACCACAAACGAAGGATGTTACGTAAGGAAATTGGGCAAAGCTTGCGTAAGGACCGAGAAGCCTGGTGGTCGGAGCGTGCTAATGAGCTGGAAGCAGCAGTTGCATCTGGCAACTACCGGAAGCTCTTCCAACTCATTCGAGCCACTGGCAGCAAGAAGTGTGGTGTGAGTGAAACAATCTGCGAGGATGATGGGATGCCAATCACTAACATCCATCGACGTCTTGGACGATGGGCAGAGTTTTTCGAAGGGCAGTTCAACTGGCCTGCTGCTCCGGCAACATCGGTCAGACTGTCCTGCCCTCCATGGCCGGTGACGACTGATCCACCAAACGAGGAGGAAGTCCGCAAGGAACTCCAACTCTTGAAACGCTACAAATCACCTGGCCCAGATGACTTACCTCCGGCTCTTTTTAAAGATGGTGGTGACTTTCTGACTAAGGAATTGACGACGTTGTTTACAAAAGTTTGGGAACTAGAGAGTGTATTAACGTCATGGAATGAGTCAATAGTTGTCCCTATCTTTAAAAAGGGTTCAAGTCGTTCCTGTAACAACTATTGGGGGATAAGTCTATTTCCGATTGCGTCCAAGATGTTGGCTTCCGTTATACTTCGTAGGTTGTTCAAAACCCGAGAAAGATTGACTCGCGAGGAGCAGGCTGGTTTTCTTTCCGGTCGAGGATGTATTGATCATATCCTCACCCTCCGCCAAATGTTAGAACACTATCATACTTATCAAAGGCCAACAATCGTAGTGTTTCTTGACATCAGGGCTGCCTTCGATACGTTGGACAGGACTGTTCTCTGGGATTTTCTATTGAAGAAGGGTGTGCCTGAGAAGTTTATTAACATCATAAAGGCCCTATATACAAACACATCAGGTGGAGTGAGGGCATACAACCACCTCTCTCCATCGTTTCATTCGAGCAGTGGGGTTAGGCAGGGTTGCACAATACCACCATTCCTCTTCAACTTTGCCATCGATGACATTCTGGAAACAGCTCTGATGGATGTAAGTAGTGGTGGTGTGGATCTGCTGCCTGGAGAAAGACTCCTCGACCTTGAGTATGTGGACGATATTGTCTTGCTGTGCGATAATACCCAAGCCATGCAATCCGCACTCAATCAGTTGGCAATCAGTGTCCGTAGGTATGGTATGTGCTTTGCACCTTCTAAGTGCAAAGTACTTCTACAAGACTGGCAGGATTCCAATCCTGTACTCACCTTGGATGGTGAGCAGATAGACGTAGTCGAGAAGTTCGTGTATCTGGGTAGCTGCATAAGTGCTGGTGGGGGTGTGAGTGATGAGATCAATGCACGTATAGTGAAAGCCAAGTCGGCTTATGTCAATCTGGGCCGCCTTTGGCGCCTTCGTGATGTCAGTCTGGCTGTAAAAGGTCGGATCTACAACGCGTTGGTGAGAGCAGTTTTGCTCTATGCTTGTGAAACCTGGTCTCTCCGAGTTCAGGATGTTAGACGTCTCTCTGTGTTCGATAATCGTTGTCTCCGAAGGACTGCCGACATCCAGTGGCAACACCATGTTAACAATGCAGAGGTTCGGCATCGTGTGTTCGGGCACAGAGACGATAACTCAGTTGGTGTCACCATCTTTAAACATCGACTTCGGTGGATTGGATGTGTTCTACGAATGTCGTCCTAGAGAATTCCACATTGTGCATTATTTGCCGACTCTGGGACTGGTTGGAAGAAGCGGAGAGGTGGTCACTGCATGACATGGTGTCGTGGTATGAAAGAAAGCTGCAAATGACTGGCTTCTGTTGGTCCTTCACGACTCCCTGGCTGGGGTCCGAGAGATGGTGCTACACAGTGGCTAGAGACGTTATCAGATATGGCTCAGAATAGAAGCCAATGGCGATCCTGCTGTAACCTTCTTTTACTTTCTTCATAAAAAGTGGTTGTGTCTCCCTTAACTGAAAGATCTCTTCTGATAGTACCTTTCCGTTTCCTCATTATTACTATTATTATTACTACACTACCTTACACCAACCTCTTCGTTATTGTTCCTTTTTTACGCTCCTTACCTTTCTTTCTTTCTCTCCGCATTCTCATTGTTTTGTGTGGCGCATATATATTGGCACTCTCTTGTACCAATATTTATGTGTTCAAATAATAACAATAAAATGATAATAGTTGGATTATGAATTATGATTCTTGTATAGGTTATACTGTTACTTCCAATTCATCAAATTCTTTTATTACTACTAGTAATACTACTACTATAAAAAATTCATGTTCACTCTTTACTATAAATGATTGGAGGCCTACTCGAGTTAGACATGAATGGTGTGACAAACTAGCTAATGTCGAAGTCACACCTCGTGGTCAGCACCTTACGTGGACTACCCCCATTGACGTAACAAGGTACTATAAATGCTTTGAAGACTGTACAACACAGAGGACGTTATTACAGAAATATATTAGTTAAGGTAGATACAGGCGAAAGTAAGACCACTGCCGCATGGGCCAGTCCATGGCGTATGATTAACTAATGCGCGTTGCTTGTACATGACCTTGGCAGGGAGCGATGATCTGTTCGACATTCAGTGATCCAACTCTGATTCGGCTAGGGCTCAGTGACATTTCGCTGGCCCTACAACTAGTTCCTCATCTTTATCTTCTAAACTAAATCGTACTCATGATCCACCATCAGTCGTTATTTCTCAAATTTTTAATCCATCTGTATTCTCATCAAAGTCTGTTCATAGTTCATTATCGTCTAATAATAATTAAAATATGGAAAGTGAATGGAAACATTTACAAGGAAAATGTTTAAAATCACGGAATCGGATGTTTAGTAAGTGTTCTTGAACAGTTAGAATCGAATTATCCCATGAAATTTTCTTCATCTTCATCATTATCTTTAACTGTCAATAAATTAACAACGAAAACAACACCTACTTCTGTTACTACTACTGATAGTTGTAGTCATGTTTACAGTATTAATAGTAAATTCTCAAATTCATCAAATCCCATGTTAACTAAGTTGAATCCAGGTTAATAATTTCATTAATAACGGGAAAATAATTTTCTAGTAATAATAGTAACAACAATAATGCTATTTTTAACAGTAGTAGTATCGTAGTGTATGTCAGTTGCGTTGACAGATATAAGTAGTATCATTAAAGATTATCATTAATTATATGACTATATATTGAATTAACTGGAAATGACTTACTTAAACCTTTGTTTGCATCATTCAGACTAACAGTTCTATTAGTTGCTGTACTTCAACTGAGTTTATGTGAATCATTCAAACATTTGATAATCACAATTTACTTTGATTTAACTAGTCATGTAGTATAATTCATTAGCCGCTTACATTGTTAACGATTAAAAGTTAGTTTGCCACAACGTAGAACTTGATACTTATGTACATCTGTTCAATTTACGCCTTCGTATTGGCACGAGATGAAATTGTTAGACCGAACCCCGAAATAGTAGAGTTAATAACAGAATCACCATACCCTAACCCTTCGAAGTTGTATAGGTGGGAATTGTGTTACACTAACATATTATCATTATTGATATCGCTCTGTGTTACATCGGATTAAGTCGACATTAAATGGTAGATTCTGCAGTATACTATAGTGGTTATAGTTATTTCTTTTAAAAGAAATTTTAAAAAATACTACAGAATATAGCCTCATTTCAACAATATCACATGATAAACGCTTTTTATTACTTGACGTTTAAAGAGCAAAATAAAGCACCGAAGATGAACTAAATGTTAGATATTTGTAGGTAGTCGGTGGGAGACACTGTAAATCTAGTTTTCTTGCCAGTTGGCACTTATCATCATAGCGTACCCGTAATTTTGAGGTAATTGGTACTCCCGGTAGGCCCCGGACCCATATCAACTTGTCTGATATGCCACAACTAAGCTATTTGTGCTCCAAATGACCTCCTGTTAAACAGATATTCCCAATTGTGTTGGTCACTGACTATTAGCATCAAATCTTTCGTCTAGTTATTAGCGCTGATCAATTGCATATAAAGACATAGTACAGGAAGGAAGAATTAGTTCGTAGAAAGAAGGATAGGCATCCGATAATTATTGAGGCTAGTATTTTAGATGCTATATTAATCAAACTAATCCCTCTATGGTTATCACAGGATGAATAATACGGCAAGAACCTAAGTCCTTATCCAAATGAATGATAAACAGTTTAACCCAATGATAATGGTAATATAGCTGATCAAATTGTCGATTAAAAGTAAGGTTGCACTGTCAATGATATATATAGAGATCAACCCTTCACTGATTTACTTTTTTCTCAACTTTCTTGATTAATGAAGTTGATTTACATGTGTGGTTTTCTTCCGTCCTCACCTTTCTGTACTTTTTCTAAAATGTTTTTCTTTTTTGTTACAGTTGGTCCTGATTACTGTAACAAAAATTCCTACTACAAACCATGTACTACTACTTTTCGTCCATTACGTCATCTGATTAATAACTGGCCACCACCTCAACCAATCAACCCAATGTAAGTAACTGGATCGTATTGTACATAAACTTAGGCTATTTTGTCAAATGACTTGTTTCCCTCTGTTTATTCTCCACCGCTTTCCATCTCTTCTGTTCTATGCACCAATTCTTTGGAGTTTCGTTTAACAACAATGAAAAAATATCATCCTAAAACACTGTACAGAATACGTTTGTTCCTTCTTCTTACAAACTTCACAACACTTGTTATTTAGCCAGTGAAATAAATACCAGTATTAAGTGTTTTATACATCCCTTCAACATCTGAAGGGAAACACGGGATACAATGGACATCTAGGATGCAGTTGGACGATCTAGACTTCGCAGATGATCTGGCCCTCCTATCCCAAATGCAACAACAAATGCAGGAGAAGACGAACAGTGTGGCAGCACTCTCAGCAGCAGTAGGTCTCAATATACACAAAGGGAAAAGCTGGATTCTCCGATACAACACTGCATGCACCAATCCAGTCACAATTGACGGAGAAGATTTGGAAGATGTAAAAACCTTTACATATTTTGGCAGCATCATTGATGAACACGGTGGATCTGATGCGGATGTGAAAGCGCGGATCGGAAAAGCAAGAGCAGCATATTTACAACTGAGGAACATCTGGAGCTCAAAGCAACTGTCAACCAACACCAAGGTCAGGATTTTCAATACAAATGTCAAGACAGTTCTACTGTATGGGGCAGAAACCTGGAGAACTACGAAAGCCATCATCCAGAAAACACATGTGTTTATTAACAGTTGTTTACGCGAAATACTTCAGATCCGTTGGCCGGACACTATTAGCAACAACGTACTGTGGGAGAGAACAAACCAGATCCCAGCGGAGGAAGAAACCAGGAAGCGCTGGAAGTGGATAGGACACATTGAGGAAAGCACCCAACTGCGTCACAAGACAAGCCCTCACATGGAATCCTGAAGGCCAGAGGAGAAGAGGAAGACCAAAGAACACATTACGCCGGGAAATGGAAATAGACATGAGAGAAATGAACAAGAATTGGATGGAACTAGAAAAGAAGGCCCAGGACAGAGTGGGTTGGAGAATGCTGGTCGGCAGCCTATGCTCCATTGGGAGTAACAGGCGTAAGTAAGTAATTTGAAATCAGCACAATAAAATCCCCGATATTTATTTGTGTGTGTATATGGATCACATGAAAATGAGTAGCTTTATTTCATACTATTTGATTATCCAATGACTTAGTTTAATGATATGCATCTAAATATTTCTATCCTCTCTCACATCAGATATCTTCATAGTCGTTTAGTCTGTTTATTTCAGAGAATTATACGCTTCTTTTTTTTCCTTGACCAGAAATTTTCTTATCTTACGATAAAGTTTGTGTATCTATGTACACTACAACCAATTAATAATCATCAACTGAAAAACTGTTATCTTTGTCCAATTTTGGTCTTAAGTTAATTGTATGTTTTATCTTTTAAATTTGGCGACACCAGTACATGAAACTGTATAGTAATATCTGCTGTAATGTTTTTTGTTGCATTCTTTGTGTAAGTTATTTACCAAATATGGTAGTTGGTTATTTCACTTTCAAACCACTAATCATCATGACTAATTATGGTATCAATGCCAAGAGTATTTAATGAGTTTAATGTCATCATCATGTCATAATATATCTGTCAATCTTTGGTAAGACAGACATATAGTACAACATAAAATGTGTGTTCTCTTGTTTATATGTTTGTCATTCTATCATATTTCTTTATCCCATTTATTGGTTAGGTTCATTGTGTCATATGGAGCCTATATGTGGTTGGTGTATTTAACATGAAATATATAAGCAGGAAAAAGATCACTATTCAACTGAAATGATGGGAAGATGGGGGTTACTGTTTGAAAATGAGTATTTTAAATTCTTAATTAACTGGCTCGATTAGATACTTGGGTACGAACCATAGTCGAGTTACGAGGGCTAATGACACTACTCGGTTGCTCAAATCAAAGTAATATTCGAACCTGGAACTTACCTACATTGACTGAAAGTTGTACGCGTAAAACAATAAGCCACTGCAGTAAACAACTGCCAAACCAATGACACGTCAAAACAACACTAGCAGCCTTGCGTCAACTCTGAATCCTTATTGATCCCTCCCGTCTAGTCCTGCCCGTCGAGTTCAAAAGTCAATCTCAGACTACACTGTATGAATAATTTATTTCAGACATACATAGTTTATATGCAAGCAAACCAGACCGCAAAACGCCTTAAAATAGAAAATAACAATTATACAAGATCAAGTCAAAAATGTTTATGAGTGTGAGAGACTGTAAGAAATAGATTGGGAATAACTTAAGAATAGTAAATCGTATAATAGCAGTCAACAGATCAAATAAAAGATTATGATAAAACGAATATAAACATATATAATCTAGTTACTTGACAGTTATACAATAAGTATATACGTACAACAACAGTTTATAAATAGTTCCCAAAAGTTACCCATAATTTAATCTTTTTCGGATACAACAGTGACATCACTTGACTTATTGTCACTGTGTTCAAATACACGTTCTCGAATCTTCACATTACTAACATGGTGTTGTAATTGGATGTCAGCAATCTTTCGGAGACGGCGATGACCAGACACAGAAAGTTGCATATCATTCTCAACTCCGAGGACAGATTTTTCAGACATAGAGCAAAACAGCTCTCACCGACTCGTCGTAAATTTGATCTTCTACAGCAAGAACAACATCGAGAATGTTCTAAAGATGGCCCATATTCACCTAATCCTCTCTAGCTTTCACTATACTTATCTACATTACTCATTCCTCATGTGAACTGGTTTTACCACTTATATTTAAACTAAGTTTGTACAGTAGTCTATTCTAAGATTGAAGCGTTGTCTCTAAAAATTGAAAATATCTATACAGTAGTTACTCGATAACGCATGTACCCGAAGAATCTATGCCACATAGCTGTAGATATTAATCAACTGACATAGCTTGAATACTTTACACAAACACAACTCATCAACGTAAAAACCTGGTCCGGAATGAAATAAATTGAAGAAACGTGACCAAACTAAAACTTTGCATCAGATCGCAATTCCGTTATTTTTAGGGCTTATGTTATCTCAAAGTAATTTGGCTACGATTTCATAATTAATGTTTAGAGATTAAGGCAATCATATCAGGTGCAATATTTTCATTTCTCGGTTTTCAGCCGTAAGCATCTTATCATTCCGTATTAACGCGATTTTGCATGTACTTTATTTTAGTAATTTACTACTAATAGTATCTGTACCCCTACGATTTTCCATTTCCTTTCGCTTTGACAACTCTGAATTATAATATACCGGACGGTTTAAAATATTTTTCTCTTCCTCGGTATACGTTATATTAGATCAAGCATTCACGACCAGAATACAGAACCAGATTAATACTAGATAATTAATTCAACATAGTTACAAGCAGTGAAACTCGGTGAGTCTGGAATAGAGATCAATGGGAGGGAAGGGAATCACATACTTAATAGTTAATTACGCTAAGTGCCTGTTTGTCCGCGCTCAGCAACCAATCACACTTTCACTATACGTATCAAGTTGTATGGTGTCTTGTGCAATACAATACTAATTAAACGATTGTGTGGCTTATATTTAATCAGAAATTAATACCGTTAACTGTAGTTGTGATCTGAAATATGAGGAAATGTATTTCATCACAACGGAATTCTCCCAACCTCAAAATAAAACCTTTTAAGTTATAAATGTTCGCTTAATGTGTAAAGAACATACTACTAGAAAAAATCAGAACTATGTACAAATGAATTTCTACTTGAATTATTCGTGATAGTTGCAGTCAAAGAGAATGTATCAATAAACAATCATTATTATTCTGACATAGAGATAATTCAATTACTTTATATTACATCACATCAGTTCATAATAAAAAATATTGAAACAAAATGTTCTAAATAAAAGAGACTAATACATGCAAATAAAGAGCATAGGAAGAAAGGATTTTGTGACATTAATCCATAGGCCATCACAAAATTCCTGTGTACAGAATAAAACCTGAATTTTTTAAGACAACAAAAATAATTAAGCTTACACATCGTTATAATTTAACGTTAAAAGAAAACTAATAGAAAGCAGACAGCCAAAAACAAATAATAGAAGTTTGGTTAACTACTTTATTATCATCATTCCCTTTTAACTGAGACAATCAATCATACAGGCTTTTTGGTAGGAAGCTGAGAATAAAACATGAGATTAGGGAGAGAAATCATAAACACACGAAAAATAAATCTCCACATAACTATCTTTTATAGATATTTAGGGGCAAATAATCCAACCGAATAGGTTACTTAATTTCTGGTCATTTTACCAGTTTGCAACTGTATATATTTCTGTGCAGTATATTTATAGTACTTGAATAATAGAAAACAGTCAAAATAAGCATACATTAGGACATATGAGTTAGTTATGCATAAAGATAGAAACAAAAGTTACTAATGAAAAAAGAGACATCTACTACGCTAAACTTTGAAAGAGTGTAAATGAAATATGAAAATGTGAACATGCTTAATTATCTCTATTTATCCGAGTTTTCTGAATACTGGCTAACCATAATAACGATTCTCGATTGCTGTCGTCAAGATCACTTGGAGTTACGTGTTTGTTTCCAACAGTACGATTGTGACGACCAATCCCGGTACTGTTTGATTTGTTTTTTCGTGGAGATGGTGATAGTAAAACCAGTTTGCTCCCCATCAAACCTGATGTGACCTGCGTCACATGCCTTGGTACAGAGGAGACAAAAGAAGGAGGTCTATCAAAATCAATTCGTTCATTGACACGAAGCAAACACCCATCAGACAATAATACACGTACGATACGTAGTATATTAATAGCATCATCTAAACCACGATGTCGCTGACCAACAAAAGATAAACCCAAATCATGTAACATAACATTCAATGTTATACGATAGCGTGATGGAAACTTGTAGAAAGCGCGAAATGATTTGGTCAAGTTAATCCATATATTGGCCCAACTAGGTATAGATATGTTAGCCAGACGACATTGAATACGCATAAATTTACTCATATCTGCACTACAATCACATACAATGGCACATCTCTTGTTGGCCAGTTTATGTCTTTTGAACAGCCATTCTTCAATCTGTAACAAAACATGAGGAAATGGTTGGGCGTTATCTACTTGGATTTGTTGAATCTGTGTTAGATCTGTACAAAACTCACTAAGGTCTGGATGTAATCTTGGCTTACAATAAGCATGAAATACACTGACGCACTTGCGTAACCTTGTACTATATAGTAATATGGGAAATTCAATGATTTCATGTGGATAGTCGGCATCAGTGGTTATCTTCTCTTTTGATTCACAAGTAGCTTCCAGGTCAATAATTAATAAGTAGTCATAGAATGTATCTGGTGTCAATATAACAGGTTTTAGTAGTTTTGTCGTCGTTGTAACTGATGGATTTGTCAGTCTGCGTCTATCATTCCCACAATTGTTAGTTAGTTGAGAGTTTAGATTAACTTCGCCAAGAACACTATCATGACCACCGTAGCTGAAACCGCTATTCTCATTATCATCTCCGTCATCATCACTGATTTGGATTTCAATATTGTGATCAATTGATTGTGCTACGCGTGCTCGTCGCACAAACTCTTGTAAACGACGTTTTAATACGGTAGTGCTTCCCAATTGATTTAAACTATGATCATATAGACAGGTGCGTAGATTATCTACAGACATATTGTGTATACGGCTATTACAATGACTCAAACGATCTCGTAGAAATGTAGTCCACATTTCTGTTATAATTTGTATACCAGGTGGAGAAAAAGCAAGGGATGTTGAAGAATATGGCAATGATGCCAGACTATTATTGAGAATTGCACGACGTTCAACATCTAAAGGAATGATTTTACCATCATTGTTTTTAACAGGTCCTAAGTAAACATCACTAATCGATGTTCGAGCTAATAATTCTTCTAGATTATGCAATTCGATATCTGACTCTGAAGATTGTATAAACGATGAGTCCTGATCGGCTTGTATCATTTGTAAATCTACACTAGTCGTTTCGTCTAAGCCATTATCCATCGACCTTTGAATGTACAGTTCATCACCATGTTGTTGCACATTGTTTTGCGTCCCGTTTTTAAATGGATCGAGCAAACCGTTGATTTCATAATAATCACTATCAAATACCTCTCGAATAGTATGATTAATATTATCAGTATATCCTGACAGCACATTTAACGGTACACTGGTAGACGGATTCATTGTAATTGAAAAATTGGAATAAGATAAATAACTAACTGAAGAGTAAAGAGATTATAATTATGGTCAATATTGGGAAGAACTGGTTATTAATGATACACAGAATTGACGACAGGCAAAAAAAAGAATATACCTGATAATCATAAAAATTTTACAACGAACAGTCAATATGCACAAAAATAAATATGGTGTCGATGCGAATGATTAGTTATGGAAACAGCAGTATAATTGTTGGTTTATGTTGTGGGAAGAATGTTTAATATAGAAGATGCCATACAGTGGTTAGTGGATAATTTTCACAATTTGTCGGAAGTTAAGGCAATAGCCCATAATTGATCAAAATGACATGAATATTCTGAAAAAGCTTTAACCTAAAATAAACTTCGAACTATCAATGATGACGCAGTGAGAAAGATTTACTTTTGGTTGTTACAGTAAGTGAAAGCTTCTTTCTTGAATAGATTTGATGATTGAACTAGACACAATCAAAATAGAAATGATGAATAAATTGTAAGAGTTGGATAACTGCTGGCATGACTAGAACATGTGATTTGTTGATGAACATGTCCTAGGTCTACAATAGCTTTGTCGATTATTTGGTGAATAACAACCAAAACATTAACTAAGTGGATATATTATGGACAGATTATCGAAACAGGATTAAAATAAAGATTGATTTGAACTTGAAACATCAATGTAACAATGGTTAATAACTAAATTTATCGGATTAGTTAGCTAAAAACGAATAAAAAGGAAGTTAGTGCGATAATAACGGTTCAAAACTAAAGAGTACAATAAAAAACATTCATATTTTGGCGAGAAACAGACAGGTAATAACCATGTATACAGTGGCAATCACGAAAGAAAGCAAATCATTAATCGACTGAAAATAAAACTGCTAAGGTTGAAGCTATCATGAGTTCACTTAATTTGCGAACGAGAAACAAGACTCGGCGACCAAAGACCAGTAAACTAGCTATAGATGCGTCCCAGCCCCGCTAACTAGAGGGAGGAATCCAAGCTTGGAATGAGGAATTATATTCTGCAAACAGCCAGAAACGATAACAACAAACACAATTCAAAACGTATATATGAGTACAAAACCGTCCTTGGGGAGAGTTACCAAATAGCATACTAAAAGATGCAACGGGCCAATAGCATTTAAGATATTTCCGATTGGGAAATACGACATGAAGGTGACAAGAGCGCCTTTGGCACGAAAACAAAGAAATTTAAATCTCCTAAATAAATGACAAAATTAGGTCATTTCCCAAGTGAGTTCTGGGGATCTAACATCCCTAACAAGAACGAAAATAAATAAAACTAAGTACACATCACGAATATATCACTGAACGTGCATACATACCCATACAACAAATCAACTCAAAATTATCTGAAGTGTTTTATAGCTATATTCATTCGATTTGAGTTCTATATTTCTTCAAAAACAAACTAATGTTTTTAATGGAACAAAGAAGTAAAATCTCACCACCAAACATAATAATTGAATTTTCTATGCAACTGGTAATATACCACTAAAATACTAATAGAATACAATGCATTCATGGATCACTAATAATTTGAGTAATTTTTACTAGTACAGGAACGTATAAGTAATAAAGTGTCTTTTATTCGGAAGCGGAGAGGCAGACTTAGTAAATGTATCCAAATTAATGTGACCCTTGTCCACGAAATCCCTAAAACATAGAAAGACAGGCTTCCGAACGGTAGTACACCAGAAAGCCGTCGCGTACAATTAGCGAATTAAGGTGAGACTACCTATGCTTCTTCAACTTCGTCGACCAAGAGATTATTATTGAGATGCTGTAAGTTAAGCGTATGGTCTAAACTGTTAGCGCATATTCGATTTCGTATTAGAAAAATCTCCCAAACCCCCGTAATTCAGAAAGTATCGATCCATAGTCCAATTAATAAAAGGGACTCCCTTAACTTAATTTATATAATATATTCCACTGTTATCATTATCTTGATTGGTTTAATAATTTCGTATGTTTTTTTAAGTAAACGGAATACACCCATTAAGACATTAAATAAGTAAGATTAGTTCAGCGAAGTGTTCTCGTTTCGGCGAATTCATTTTCAAAGCTGTACAATCGCAAATATATATACTTATTTTTACAGGATGATAATAATACTGATAATAAACTTCTGTTAGATATGGTGATAGTGAGGTTAAATGAACTAAGTTATTAAAAAGGTTTTAAACTAGGAAATTTTAATAATCGTTTGATTGTTAATGGCTTAAGTATTCATCAAAAGATGGATAGGGAAGTTGTCATTGGGGAAGGATGGCTCAGCATGATAAGATAAAAAGTAATCAAAATGATCGTGAAAACAAAACCAACCAGTTGGGGGTAGATAATTTAAGGGGAAGATGGAAGGTGAACAGATGGCTGTAATTATTTGTTTTCGGAGTTCTCGGCTTCATGTTCTTATCAATGAATATAGACAGATATTCGTTTTTGATAAACATCTCTTTTAAAAGGCTCAATTCTCCCTCTACGACCTCGGGGCTACAGATTCTTCGTATTCTTGTGGCGAGTGTTATTATTAAGTTTCTTTTTCTACTGATGGGAAGCCAGCTGTGGAAAATTCATAGTTGGCCATTCCACATGGGTTTCCTGTAGATAGATCTTAGAGTTCCATTTTGTTTTCTTGTCATTTCCACATCAAGAAAGTGAATATTTTGTTTGTTTCCAACTTCTAGTGTGAATTTTATTGCTGGGTGGCAATTATTAAATGGAGGTTTCCTATAATCGTTTTGACTTGGTTGTTTTCTAAACTGGCCATGAAGCAATCTGCTAGTAATGGACCAAGTGGGGATCCCATCGCCATGCCATCCTTCTGTCTATAAATTACGTCCTTGAATGTGAATTGCACATTGCAAGTGCAACGTAGTAATAGTTCCTTCAAATAAATATCCGGTATTCCGATATTAATCTCATTATTGTTTACGTACTTGCAGATAAAATTAATGGTCCGCGAGTGGAACATTAGTGAACAATGATTCGACATCCAGTGATAGCATAATTTGGTCAGTTACATTCACTTCTTTTATGTGCTCGATAAATTCGAACGTATCACGTACTGAGTGTTTACAAATGCGTTTTCTGACGGGTTCTAGGAGATTTGCCAGCCACTTTGCTATGAAGTGGTAAGGGGATCCTGTGAACACAGGTCACTAGATCAAGACAGACTCTGCGTTCAAAGTCATCTACAAAGTAAGTAGAAGTCTTCCAAAAACAATTAGACTGCATCTTCTTTGCATTACCGAAGCATTAGCCATACATCTGGAAAAACCAGGATTGTGTGTGCATAAGAGACTGGTACAACCTCTTCTTCTACCATGTTCTTAAGGTCTTATAATTTCTTTCTCTTTTTCCTACTCTTCTTCCTTTACAACCATCTGTTTCACCTTCCATCTTCCCCTTAAATTATCTACCCCCAACTGGTTGGTTTTGTTTTCACGATCATTTTGATTACTTTTTATCTTATCATGCTGAGCCATCCTTCCCCAATGACAACTTCCCTATCCATCTTTTGATGAATACTTAAGCCATTAACAATCAAACGATTATTAAAATTTCCTAGTTTAAAACCTTTTTAATAACTTAGTTCATTTAACCTCACTATCACCATATCTAACAGAAGTTTATTATCAGTATTATTATCATCCTGTAAAAATAAGTATATATGCTTTATTTATTATTTATTTGGACACATAGATACTGGTACAGGGGGGCACCAGATACATATGTGCCACACAAATCTCATTTGATTTGTGTGAGGGCTGGGATACTGCCTGGGTGCCCAAACCAAAGCAGGTGGTTTCCTTAGGGGTCCACACCCAGAGCCTTCGACCTAAAGGTCTGATCCACAAAGCAGTGGAACATCGTAAGGAGGCGCAGTCCCATGGTAGCAAGTGACCAACGATTGGTTCATACTGGAGCCCATGTGCACCATTGGTTTGAAATCAGGGTTTTACAACTCCCTTCGGTGGACTCTCTGTATCCACCAACCCGGTTAAACCGTCGGACATTCGCTTTTCGTCCTCTCAATTCCGTAAACAACACCCCGGCCACGAGAATGCGATGAGTAGAACTTCCCTGGCGGAGGGAATAAACGCGTGGCCATGTGAGAACATTTCGAAAGTGAAAGCGGACTGTGCCCACTCTCAGCCGTTCCATGGCATTTGGGGGCTTCGTATATGCATATAAATATTACTGTATATTAGAGCAGAGCCTGATGAGGATTAAATCAAAAACAATATTGTTCGTTTATATATGTTGTTTTAACTTAATTTACCTTAACTGTTTGTGTAATTATATATTATTATTCCCGTTCACTTGTTTTTGAGCATACTCCCTTTTTCATCTGTTGTATTATAACTTCATTTCCTAGTATGAGCATAATTACGTTAGTGCTGTACCAGTTGTACCAGTAACCATTCGTGTTTAGTGAGCAAATAAATATAATCCGGTTGGGATTTTCTTACGTTCAATAAAACCCACAGAAATGCACGCCCTCACAAGGGTATGAATCCCAAGCATATGCTCTAGGAGTAGTAGCCGTCTTTTCAACGATACCTTGTGGTGACATATATTCGTGTCCACGTTTGTGTTGATCGCCAGGTTAGGCAATGTCTTCCCTTATGCCAAAGTTTGTACCTGGTAGGAAGAATCGGACGTCTGAGCAGTCGCAGCAGACGGGCACCGTAATGTTTGTTGATTTAGGACACTAGAAGATACATCTAAGTGTTCCTTAGTTAAACTTGACCCACTGATGGAGCGTTAGGATCACCCGTTACAACTACTACGTTCAAGACCCGGCTTTCTGAAGGTCATAAAACTTTCTGTAAAACTCAGCGTTTCCATATGGTGTTTGAGGCTATGTATATTTTTTAGCTGCCCCACCACTTTAGTGTCCTGTGTAAACTCCATGAATGAGGAAGATGATTACATGGTGCTAAGTGGACATGTATC